AACTCATGGATTTAGAATACATCTAATTCCTGCTATGGTGGTGACTGCATGCTTTGAAGCAGCTTCAGGTCAATCTCTTGAGTAAAAAGTCAATTTGTAATATTCTCTTCTTTTAAAAAAAAGTCAGAAGTGATCAGGTAATCTACAGTTTGAATTGCTCTACTTCAGTTAAACATCAGAAGAAGCCAGCATGGCTTTATGAAAGGTAGATTCATACTGACTAACCTGATCTTCTATGACAAAAAGACCCACTTAGTAGATGAGAGAAAGGCTGTAGATGTTATATACCTGGTTTTTAGTAAAGATTTTGACATTGTTTCCAGCAGTATTTTCCTGGAGAAACTGGCTGCTTGTGGCTTGGATAAATTTTTCTGGTTGAAGAACTCAGCTGGATGTGCAGGTTCAAAGGCATAGTGAATGGAGTTCAATCCAATTGATAGCGAGGGTCAAGTGTCATTCCCCAAAGCTCAGCATTGAAGCCAATTTTGGTTAACATTTTTATCAGTGAGAGGAATCCAGTGCAACTTCGTCAGTTTTGAGGATGATTCCAAGTTAGGCAGCACTGTTAATCTGCCTGAGGGTATGAACGGCTCTGCAGAAGTATCTGAATAGTCTGGATCAGTGAACAGAGTCCAGTCATATGACATTCAGTAAGGCCAAATGCTAGGTCTTGTACTTGGGTCATAAAAACCCTATACAGTAGTATAGCCTACGGCCAAAAAGAAAAATGTAGTAGAAAAAGATGATCAGCATCTGGATAAACATAAGCTGGCAGTGTACATATGGCCAAAAAAGGACAATGGCATCCTGGCCTGCAGGATGCATTGTGTCCAGCAGGACTAGAAAGTGTTCCCCTATAGGTGGCACCGGTGAGACCAAACCTTGAATATTTGTTCTGTTTTGGGCCCGTCAATACAAGACAGTTACTGAGTTTCTTGAATATGCACTGAGAAGAGCAACAAAACAGGTGAAGGAGTAGTAAACAAAATGTATAAAGAGTAACTGAGGGAATTTGAGATGTTTAGTCTGGAGAAGAGGAGGCTGAGTTTTGCCCTCATCACTCTCTCCAGCTGTCTGAAAGGACATTGAAGCAAGAAGGGTGTTGGTCTCTTTTTTCAGGTGATAGAATATAAAGAAATGACCTCAAGTTGTGTCAGGGTAGCTTTAGACTGAAAGATTTTTTTCACAGAGAAGATGGTTTAGCATTGGAATGGGATGCCAAGGGAAGTGGTGGATTCTCCATCGCTTGGAAATACTTTAAGTATGGACGTGGTAATAAGGGTATGTTTTAGTGATGCAACTCAGTAAGTCAGGTTGATGAGCTAGATGATTTTAGTGGTCTTTTCCAACGTAAATGATTCTATGATTCTTTGATCATTCTATCTAAAAATCGATGTGTGAATACTCTCCACCTTCTATTTCAGTGACTTTCTTTTTCCTGTATGCCAGATGGAGAAGTCAGTGTGCACAACCTGTTTGCTGTACCATAAAAAGATCATGAAAATGACTGTAATATCAAGGTCAGGGGTCTATTTGTTCCATGTCCTATTTCTTACAGTGTTTCAAAAACCAAATTAAGGAATATAAGAATGTGGTAAATGTATGTTCTAAACACATATCCTTCTCAAACTACAGGTCTATGCGAGTTGGATGTTGTTAACATTTACATTTAGATAAATTCCCCCATCTGTCCAGGCTGATCTTGAATTCATTATTTGATGTCCATGACATCCGGGTGTGGTATAAATACACATTGCAGGAAGAACCACCTCCCTTTGTTCATTTGTTTTGTTTTCTCCATTTTGCAAATATAATCTTGTCAGTTTCATCTGGTGCACTGCGCAGAACAAGGCAGTGAAAAACACATCCTTCTTATAGTTACGATTTTATAGTCCTTATAGTCTTCCGCAATTCACTTCTCTCTTTGATTAAACAAATAATCTGAGACTTGTTTGTCCCTTGTGCAGGGGTCATTCTGTGTATTGCTTTATCATCTTATTCTCTGTGAGCCTTTTCTAGTTGTATCTCTCTGACTGAAATACAAATAAATGGGGAAGGTGGGCAAGGAAGACTAACGTACATAGGTATACACAAGTGAGATGACAAATTAAGCAAATTTTAAAGCTATGGAGGCAGTATTGATTTAGCTTGGGCAGTGGACTTGGATAGTACTGCATTTAATACAGAAATACGCTGCTCTGTGACCACCTCTGATCATGTTTAGAATGCACCTGTATTTGCAGAAACTTCTTGCACTTTGCTTCTTTTGCAGTTTAGCCAATAACTTATAGTTCCGCTGGCGCCTGTGTAATGCAGGTGATTCTGTTTCCTGGCCTCATTCTCTCTGTTAACACTAAATGTACCAACAAGTAAAAAATTTGTTTACCCAGGAGCGTGTTTTCAGACAAGAGAAATGCATCTGAGTAAGGTTCTCACACACGTCTTCAAACATGGGAGTTTCCATGTGTTCACTGTAGTCCTTACAACTGAAGGATCCACATAAACACCTCTTGAACAACTGCTTAATCTTAGAAAGCTCCCCAAGGGGGCTTTTTAATGGAAAAATCAATATGATTTACTTGTTACAATTAAATATACTCTGTCAATTTTATACCCTCAGGGAAAATCTAGAATTATTATGATGTAGTCAATAGCATAGTTAAATTAAAGTCCTCTCTCTAAAGATATTCTGTTGACTGGAAATCAATGCATTTCTGAAATGATTTAAAAGTAATTTCTGGTTCTGCACCTCCCTATGATCCTGTTGCCCTTCTAACTGGTTTTACCATCACATTTTCCTGTTTAAAACATATTCTTTTCTCCCTTCTGACATGCAAACCTGTGCAGCCAAGAAAGAAAAATACCTTTAAGACAAACTGTACATAGAGAGCTGGAAAGTTAGCTTTAGGCTTATAAAAATACACAGAAAATGGTTATATGCCTCGAGGGAGAGACCTTCCCTCAAAGCCAACTATACACAAAGTGCTGTCATTGGAGAATTAGTGAAAAGTGTTCCTATTCTGGCGTATTGTAGAGACTGAACCAGTGTCAGAAATTTGTGTCTCTTGGAAATGAGTCTTATGATGAATAAAAAGGAAGTAGCAAAGTTCAGGCTTTGGGCCTCATCATTTTCTGCTTTTGATGTTAAGGCATCCCCAGAAATAAACTTATCTTTTGAATAGAACATACATGTCCAACTCGTGGCCCATGGGTCACATGCAGCCCTGGACAGCCAATAGTGTAGAGCCACACGATCATAAACTTTTAAGTTGGTTTTGCAGATTTTAGAGAGATTTTTCATGAGCTAATTACATGTAGCTCAAGCATGGACTGGACAGATAAGAATACTGCGGAGGGGAGGGTGCAGTGCAGCACTAAATCTACGTGCCTCTTGCCACACACAGTCAGTTGAATCAAAACCTGCATGTGTTGTACATTACATGTGCTTGTACCACACGGCAAGTAAAATCTAGTGATTAGCAGTAAGTTTTCAACCCACCTGCATGTGTGTGTCCATGAAGAGATGTGGTTTTTGCAGATATGTGTTATTTAATTATTAAACTTGGGCTCATGATAGTTTTCTAAAATAAGTTAATAAGTTAACACATTCATTAGTTTCACGAAAAACAAGGTTTTTATGTTTTAATAAAAAAAAATTGTTTTTAAAGAAATAAGTTTTCCTTCTTTTATACTTTAATTATACTTTACATGCAACCCAAGACAATTCCTCTTCACACAGTGTTGCCCAGGCAAGTCAAAAGGAGGTTACTTATCTTATTCTCTTAGTGATTTTTTGTAAGAACTTCAGTCCAAATTTAGTTGATTTTCTAAGATGCTCATTTCATTTCTAAAGGAGTTGATTTGAGAAAATTTTATGGACCATGGGAAGTGAATCTTCACATGCTCTGATTGGGCTGATCTTTTCTGAATTTATAAATGTGAGTTTATAATACTCACAGGTTATTTTTCTTACTTACTTTTCTGACAGCTATTCCCAATGTGTGTAAAGGTGTTTCTTTGAATGAGCGCATAGAGTGTAAAATAGCATAGGAGTTTTCAGCATGTTGAATAAATTGTACCGATCAAACTTCAGCTTAGAAGTTAGTGTCAATTGCATGCTTAGCAATATGTTTATTCTCTCCTTAAGATTATTTTCCAGTAAAAGTTTCACTGGTGCTTTTCACTGCATTTATAATAAAAGGGATTTATTCTTATTCTGACTTGTACTTTTGAATTGCTCAAACTAAAATAAATTGATAAGACAGGCTAGACCTTTAAGTGATGAGAAAACTTGAAATAGTGCCATCACTCATAGAACTCAAACACAGAGCACGTTTATTTCTGTTAGTTTCAATGAGTAGTACTTGAGAATTTAGAAGGGAAAAATATTTATATCGCTTTCTTTACCAGAGAATTAAAATGGCTTGGAAATAAGTATTTTCATTGTATATCATTTTCAAAAATGTATATATTTAAATGTGCAGTAATTTGTTGTTGCAGTTTTGTCAGCCACCCAAAGAATGCTGTTGAAGCAGCGCCATGTATATAGTTGCATGCTGTGGGGTGTTAGAACAACATTCTCTCCCCGATAGAGGTAGCAGAACTCCATGGTGTAGTTATACTGTTAGAAAGGCTGTGATAGACTAGGGGGAGGTATTCTTACAGAGTCAGATTTTGGAGGGCAAACGCATGTATTTAGTCTTGTCTTTTCCTGTCAGAGTCACCAAAGTATGTATATGTTGTGCAAGGAGAAAAGAGCACGAGATGGCACCACAAATGCAGCATTATGCATTGTAAATACACCTTTTTATTCATTCTTTTCCTTGTAAGGAGGATTGGTGCCAAGTAAAAATTTTGCCACAGTGCATCAATATAAAAGCCTCTCAACACTGCTGTGATTTTTATTGAATACAGAGCTTCTTGCAATGTTAATAATTTCATGTTGTCTCAGGCTAGTAGTTTTAACTGCTACACTTTGATTATGTTTCAGAACAGTCAAGCATCAAATATTGAAACTGACGTCTGAATTAAAAAGTGTGCAAAAAATTCTCTTCCCTCTTTAACTATTGAAACAAACGAAAATGGAAATCTGACTAAAGGAGGTGAGTCTTTTCTTCTTACTCTGATAGTTCTTGATCTGTCTGCATCATTTATTCACTGTTCTCCAGATTTGCTTGTAAAAGACAAGAAGCCAAATGATTGCAAATTGTGAACTGTATTAATGGAGATGAAGATAGCTTCATAACTTGATATTTTGGCTTAGAAAACCACATACATGATAACCCACCTTTGTACACATGGAGATCTGCAGGCTGCACAGAGTTAATACCAGGTGTATTGGAATGTTGTGGTGCCTTTGTAAATTGCATTTTCGTGAGTCTGACATTAACAGAAAAATGTAACATACGAACTAAAAGGTTTAATAGGGCCTCGTATGGATAGATGTATGAGTTATGAAACGAGTTTAAGGAGTATGAGAGCGGGATCGATTTGGTCTGGGGGAATATAAAGAGAATCAGAGCCAAAAAAGAAAATAAAGGCATCATAGGGAGTTATAGCAGCTTGGAAGCAATGTAGAAATGGCCTAGGGAAGCTCTAGTAGAGACACTTTTTTTTTCATGTCTTCAACAGCTTTTTATTTTATTTTATTTTATTTTGTAACACTACAACCTGCTGCAAGCTAGACGTTACTCATCTGGTAGACATTCTGAAGCTATTTAACTATTTGCACTTTAGTAATTACTAGTACTAACATGTAACTTATTACTTACATGTATTTATATAAATTGCTGGACATCATTAGACTCACACACCCTCAATAAAAAGTCTTTCACCTTAGTTCCTTGTGGCTTTAACAAAATAAAGTCCTGGATCCAGTTGAAGTTCTTTTAAGTACTGGAATCTAGTATGTGACAATGATGTGTTCCTCATGTTGTCAAGAACATAATGCAATGAGTAGGGCCCGAAGGGTTATAGTAAATGTGGTTCTATCAAGCTGGTGGGGTTTCTTTGGGCCCCATTTTAGGGCCAGTTCTCTGCAGTGTTTTTGTAAATTACTTTGGTACAGAATTTGAGCACTTAGTAAATAAATTTGCAGATGCTAATAAACTGAGAGGAGTTCTTGAATTCCTCAAGAGTAGAGAGGCCCTGCCAAGAGATGTTGGCAAATGAAAGGACTTTGCAATCACCGATTGTATGAAGTTGAATAAAAAACAAGTGCTAGATTCTGTACCTGACATCACTGACTCTGTGTACAGACTTGAGGATGAGAGGCTGGAGAGCAGCCTGCAGAAAGAGATGTGGGAGTTCTGATCAACAGCAAGTTGAATCTAGTGAGCAACATGCCCTGGCAGCCAGAAGGGCTGATGGCACTCTGTTTTCATTGTTTTGTAGTACTGATTGAGTGAAAGAAGTATGGCATGGAACAGGGCAGTGGGCACAGCCCTTAGCTGCCAGAACTCAAGGAGCATTGGGATACTGCTCTCAGGGGTGGGGTTTAATGTTAGAGTGGTCGTGTGTGGAGCCAGGAGTTGGACTTGATTATTCTTATGGGTCCCTTCCAACTCTCAATATTCTGTGATTCACATTGTTCAGTGTTTCTTAGGATTGTGCTTAACTTTGCACCTACGTTTTTCTAAGGGGTGAAACAATTTTAAATGATGCTCTAAAAACAGTATTAAAGCTATATAGTTACCTCTATGAAAATTAGAAAATGCCAGAATACACGTTGGCAGTTCATGCACACCATGACAAGTTTCTTTCTAACAACTTTTTTTTTCTCACTGTTTTGCTTGAAGTTCACCTTAGTACCCATGGGCTTCTTGGGGAGTGCATATCAGTTCACTGCACTTTGTGAATCAAGCCTTTTTGCTTTGCTTTAACAGAGGAATAGGCAATAAAGCTGTAAGTTACTGAAGAATGTATTTTAACTAATGACACGTTAATTAGAAAGAACAGTGAGGTGGTCCATTTACTTTCATAAGGAACATATTACTGATATATGTTACTCTACGTCTGTGAAATTTGTTTAAAAGAAATTAAATGGGAATTAAATATACCATTAAATGGCAACGTGTTTGTCAGCAGCAAGAGGATGGATAGGCTTTGAAAAAAAAATAGAGGAAGAGAATCTAAATGAAATATTTGAAGAACACAGAAGAAACTGTAATGAGACAGAACAAAATGAATATAATTGATCATCTACAGAAAGAATTCATGAAAGATGTGAATCTTAAGGTCTTCTTGTCTTACTGAAAGATAGTGTGCAGGATGCTTTGTTGTTAATTATGCAGTTGTCTTAGGCTCTTCAAAATACTGTTCCTTAGGAAAAAAGAAACACATGGCATTGAGAACAAATTACCAGTTGAAAGATATCATGGTCTTTGATGCAGTATAACAGAAGGTATGAGGTATTTTACTAATGATGCCAGTTTAAATGTAACAGCTGTAACGAGGAAAAAAATTAGAAGTACTGCTTCAGGTAAAGTACACTGAGAAGGCAGAAAAGCTTAGAATTAGGCAAAGGTAATGAAATCAAGTACAAATAAAATCAGCTTTCAGGGGCTAATTATGGTTGTTGGGTTTTGTTGTTTTTTGTTGTTGTTGTTTTTGTGTTTTTTGTTGTTTTTTAAATATAGGCAACACTTTCCATTATAACTTGAATGGCAGTTCCCTGTGAATCAGAAAATATAAATTTAAAGAATGCTATAAACAGGCAAATCATATTGTCTATTAGATAAAATACAAAATTTCATATGAAAATGCACTAGATAATTCATTCCCTTCTCTAATTATGTAAAATGTATCAGCAAAATAAAAAACAGAGATAATTCTTTCAAGCAAGAGTATGCAGGCCATGAGAGATATGTGGTGAGATGCTATAGATTCTGGATTTTTTTGCCGTATGAAAAATAGTAGTTGTACAGTCAGCCTTCATAAAAAAAAGTACTCATGAATTTAGTTGTAAAGTGCCAAATGCATTTTTGCATCCAGTGACAGTTAGAACTCCAGGGAATATCCATAACCTTTTGGGGTGAGGTGGATACAGAAACAGCTCAAAAGTATCAGAAGTTACATTTCTAATGATAAGTAAGGAAATGAAACAATCATTAATGACTAACATCTATAGACGTTTTTAATAATATAAACCTTTATATGCATAAAATATGTCAAGGTACAAAATCATAATATTTTATTTCAAAAATGAGAAAATAACCAAGTTGGCAAACTCAGAGGAGGCTCATGAGTTAGGCTGAATGTTCTTTGTGAATCCCTTCCAATTCAAGGTACTTTATGATTTCATGAAAAGGCAGAGAAAGTAACTTCAAGGCAATGTTGCCTTCTACTCAACCTACCTCTATTTCCTTGGTGTGTATGGGATTGTGGAAGAGGTAAAAAATACCCAGACAAGTAAGGAACCATCTAGTCTTTTTTTTTTCTTTTTTTTTTTAAACTCATTTTCTTCTTATTTTATGTCCTACGGAATGCTAATGTTAGTTTTAAAAGCTTTTCCTTGACTTATCTTAGAGTGAAAGGCACAACCTAACAAGACTCGCTTGTGAATGCATGACAGGCAGTCCTAAAGCCAGGGGACATAGTATTAGAGATATGTGACAGTACTGTAAGGTCAGTAAGAGAACATCACTCAGGAAATAAAAAATTCAACTTAAATATTTTTCTATATTCTTTCTTGGGCATCTACTTCCACCATGGTTTATGTCAATAGCTCAGTAGGCATTTGAATTCACCCAGCATGGTGCTTCTCTAAGTGCATACCACTGGAAGTAGATGGCTGTAAGAAGTTTGTAGTGGGTAAATCTAATGACACCATTAACTTTAAGAAAGGGAACATTTGTTTTATTCCGCATCATTCTCTTCCAGTACAATTTCAAATTGAGCAGAACAGGAAATCCTACTTACTCCCATGGTGTAAAATCATGTCTCTGAAATGATTCACCTGTCTTAGAAACAAGCTGATCTACATAGCTATTACTGCTTCTAGGCTGCTGATGCTGGGAGAGATGTCTTACTTAGGTTTCAATTCCATGTCATAAATAGTCACAGGCATGATGGTATCTCACAACCTCCTAATGCCTTGATGGAATCAGGGGATTCTCATGCATCCTCGTACTGCAAAGACCACAGCCAGCAAAATCAGTCTAAATGTTGCTTGAATTTGTATTTTTATATGATTGTAACAGCTAAAGTGATAACATCAGCAAAAATCCAATTCAGATAATAATTTCTGTTCAGTTCAAGCAGGAAACTCACATTATGAAAAAATGAAAAGAGAATTGTCTTTACTGAGCAGTGAGAGTCTGGAAAAAGGTACATTAGCACTCTCTTCCAACTCATAGGGTACTACAAAATACAAAAAAGCCTTATTTTATGTGAAACTCTCTCTGCCACGTTGTTATTATTTTAAACTGTTTCTGCATTCACTTTTACTTCTTTTGTATAGACCTTTTGTTCCCTTCCCTGTCAGCTCCATTAGCTTCTTTTTATGTATAGCAGGCACCATTTTAAAAACTGGTTATTGATTTGAGGAAGTGGCAGGATAACAATGAGAAAAAAGTTGTTCTGTTCAAGAGCTGAATGGTCAAAAGAGACCACAATTTTGGTTGGGTGCAGTGACCAAATTCTCAAGATCAAATGAAAAAACAAGGACAATTTCTTAACAAATTAGCATTCATAAAGAAAAAAAAGTATCATCATTGATTTTGCTCCTAACTCATGAATTTACATGAGCGCTTTGCCACAAATATTCATTTTACTGTTTCATTTTAAAAGAGGGGGAAAAAATCAGTTTTATAAAGTCAGCACAATGAAATTCATGCTTAGGGGTTTGAGAGCTGGCTAGGAAGTTCTTGCAACTAAAATTTGGGTCATTATGATCTTGAAATAAAAGGACAATATCAAGAAGTGGAAGAAAATAAGAAATCATAAGAAATCAATTAAAGTAAAGTCTGCAAGTTCAAATATTGGTGATGTGTTGGGAAGAGTAAGTTACTTAAGTATTTTGAGTGGATTTTTATGAGGGCTGCTTTGAAATCAATGCCTCCTACTTTGTGGTATTTGCCCACAAAATCAGAGGCTGATGGTG